CCCTATTTTTAATGTTCATACAGAGATTTCTTTAACTGAAATACCGAATAGTTTCTTTGGTGCGAAAACTATAATAGTACACAGGATCCTAATGAGATAACTAATAATGTGAAATAGGAAGTAAAGGGCTAAAGGTGTAGGGAAAGTGGGAAGGGTGGGGGAAAGGTAATAAGGGAGAGGAAAAAAATATGAGAAACTGAAAAAATGGAAATAAAGTGTTTGTAAATGGGGAGGGGAGGGGGGTGAAGGGAGGGCAGGGACAAGGGGAAAAAATGAGAATCAAGACCTTTATGTAAAGGTACAGAATCCCAATGATGAATGTAACTGTATTGTATACCTAGATTGTACCAATAAACTCAATTAAAAAAAAAAAAAGAATACTGGTCATAAGTATGTGGGACAGAACTAAACAATTCAAGTCTGGTTTTAGAAAATAAGGGAGGAGAGGACCCCCCAAAAAAGAGTGACCAGTACTAGAACCCACTGAAGATCAAATTGAAATGTGACTTGATCTCAAGAAAAACTGAACACTGTCTGTGCAGACATTGAATATTTAGCATTAAAGAGAGCATCATTAGCTATACTTACACCAGTTGCAATAGCTCCAGGTCTCCTATGGGTTTTCGTCTGACCATGGGAAGCAGGCTGGCCTTTAAATCCCCATCTTTTCATGACTCCCTGAAAACCTTTACCAATGCTAAACAAAACAAGTGTTAGAATTTATACAATATTGTAGAGTGCAAAACATTCCCAAATGTACATTTTTTTGATAATACCTTCGAGGCATAATAAAGCTTATCTAAATAACTAGAAAGGATACACAAGCAAAGCTTCAAATGAATATTCCTTTATCTGCCTCAGCTTGTACCACCCATTCAAGCCTAATTGTATATAAAATTAATTCAAGATAGCGAGACAATAATAAGGTAAGCAAAAGGAGTTTTATCTGAACAGGAAAAAAGTTTCATCATCATAATCTACAGAAGATGACAAAGTAAAAGAGGTACAGTTCTAGAAATTTCAAAATGTTCATTATACACAACAGACAGCCATCAAGATGGACCCCAGAGATCCCCACCTCCTGGTACTGATGCCCTTGTTCAATCCTCTTCCCTTGAGTCTCAGTGGACCTAGTGATGTGCCTCTAATGAATAAAATACGGCTGAAATGATGAAACGTTACTTTTGAGATTTGGTTACAAAGAGACTATAGTTTTCATCTGGGAGCTCTTTTGCTTGCTAGGCTCTGAATGAAGCCAAGTGCCATCACATAAGCCATGCTATGGAGGGGCATGTGGCAAGGGTGGTTCCAGCAATAATACCTTGTGGACCTGACCCCATGTCTGTGTTGGTAAATTTGGAGGCAAATTCTCCCCATGTTGAACCTTGAAATGATGGGAGCCCTGGTTAACAAACACCCTTAATGCAGGGACCCTGAGCCAGAGACACTTAGGTAAGTTGTATTAGGACTACTGACCACAGAAACTGTGAGGTAGTAAATGTTTATTACTTGAAGCTATTCTGCTTTGGGTGATATATTAGGCAGCAATAGCTATGTAATCTAATGGTATCAATAAGAAAATTAAAATGCTCTAAATGCCAAGCAAGTTTTATTTTAGAAGATACTAGATGTATCTTGGTTTCAGTATGAATGGAAGCTAATAGAGAACAAAATCAGAAAACCACAATTTCTTAATAATCTAAAATCTCATTTTGAAATGAAATCATTTTATTTTCAGATTTTGTTAGCTAGAGAAGCTTTGTATGATGCAAGTAGACAGCAAACAATACTAGGCTCAAGCAGCATTAAAGTGTATTTCTAAATGTTAAATATATTAGTACAAACAATACAATCCAAGGCCAGGGGGAACTGTAAGATTCAATGCATTTTTTTATATACTCTTAAAATGAAGACTTTTTTTCACCTTTCACTCAACAATGTTAACATACTTTTTATGTACATGAAAAGGGGCAAAAGAAAAAGAAAAACAAACTACTTTCACAAGAATACTGTAATGAATTTGTTAACACAGAATTATCAGAGGACTGGATTGAAGAAAGCCCACATGTCTAAAACAGTATGTTTTAGATAAGTCAGAAATTCAATATAAAAGCAACCATAAATTATGTTCAGAACCATCAGGTACATATTATCAAATCAAACACCAAAAGTTATTTGTAAATAATTTAAATTTAGCATACATCATTTTCTTCTTCAACTGAACATACTATGATAGCATGTACATAATTCTTCTTTTGCCCCAAACACTCAAAATAATAGTCTTCATTAAAGAGTTATACAAAATAACATTTCTGTATTTCTATAACATCTACAAAGATAAGCACGATAATCAAACACTTTAATGAAAATATATTTCAAAAATTTAACAAATATTTTCACTTAATGAATTTTAGAGTATCCTTGCAAAGCAAAAAGCTTGGCAATTTAAAAGTAAAAAAAAAGAGAAAATACCTAAAGAGTCATTTATCCCTATGCTATTGTTTAGCATATAACGGGGAAAAAAAGAACAATGGGAAGGACTGGCAATACTACGCTAAAATGAACAGGTTTTAAAAATACCACATTCAACCACTGGTCATTCTTGGTAGAAAGTTTACTAGTTCTTTTTGAGTCCTCAAACTTATTATCTCTTACTTAAAAAGCAAGCACCAATAAAATGCATGCCAGGTAAACTAGAGAAGATAATTGAGCTCATTTTAAAAGAAAATGATTATAAGATGAAAGCAGTATCCTGAAAGTTAATTAAACTGTCAGCTAATTACAGACTTTTTTCAATCTAGCTCTAGAACACATCATGTAGTTACACTGTGTACAATGGGAACCTCTTCAATAAATAGCCTTTAAACAACAGGATAGAACCCAAATGACATGAAAAATTATTGGTTCAGTTTAGCTTAGGGAGAATAGAGTGCACCTGTTGATCATGGGTGGTACAGGTATCTACACTTCTATATTATTCTCTGAACTGCCACCCAACTGAAGAAAAAAATAAAATAAAAAAAGAAATGAACTCTACCTAGGTACTTAGGTAAGACACCTAGGTACATTTCAAATATGTTTCCACGGGTCATATAAAATAAAATCTTTACCTCACTGAAAATTATACACAACACATTAACACACAGGCTTTGTCACTCACCCTTACATAGTCTAGTTAATTACTAGCAAGAGAAATAAAAAAAATAAATTAAAAATCAAATCAGGAAGAACACAGTATTAGAAATCACAACTTTACAGCAATTATAATTGTTAAACCAAAAATTCATAAAAAAATTGAGAAGTACCATGTAATTTAGAAGACTACTGACTTGTTTCTCAGCCCATTTGTACTTGTCATAGCAAGATAGAGGGTTACTTTCCTTTTGTGGTATAGTCTCCAAATGTTGTGTTAACAGGCATACTTTTAGTTCCAAGGATGGCATAAAGAAAGGAGGAGGATGGGCTTACAGGTATGACTAAAAGAAACTTGTAATGGGAAATGCACAATTTAGTATTTCCCAATGAGGTTTATAAATCTCTAGAGATAACTACGCAAATTTCATTCCCTTGCCATATTGTGACAAATGCCCAAATGTCAACAGCAAACAAGTTCTAATACAAATCTATCTTATTTTTTCACTTTGTGGGACACTGCCTTTCACTGCATGCCTCTGGATATTACTGTATTTTGGAGACAAAATGTCCATGAGATGAGAAGTGACTGTACACATGCTCTGAGTCCCATTTGTTCCTAATCGTCTAAAAATTCCCTCGAAAAATCCCATGCCCAAGTGTCTTGCTTGCCAATGGTTTCTCCAGCCTTCTTTTACCTCCATTATTTCCATCTTTGGAAAACAAAACTGAGTCTCTTCACATCCATCATCCACCCTCTGCAATCTACCTTCCTCTCCAATGACTATTCTTATAAGATATAACTTAATCATGCTGTTATGCTTTAGATTAAACTGTATGCTCTTAGTTTTAGAATAACAAAAAAAAATTCAATAAACAAAGGACAGTTTTTAACAAAATAAATTACATGTATATAAAAGACTTACTAGCTATTCACTGTCTCTCTCAGGATCAGTTTTTAACTCATGATAAACTAATATAGAACATTTTAATCTTTAATTACAGTTTCTCCTTTGAACAACTCCCTCAGATGTTTACAACTTAATCTCATTTGCTCTTATCTCAAAGTCATAACACCTCTACTAAAGAACCCGATAAAGTTCGAGTCAATTTCTACCCAGTTCAGTGTTGCTGTGTAAATCTATTTGATCAGTGATAAACAGTTTCTGAGCCCACAAATTGTCACAGTGGAATCTTTCAGCTGCTCTGTGCTCCATTCATATAGGTAGATGCTGGCATGAAATGTCTATATGGCTGTAACTTTCCCGGACAAGTTTGTAACAGCATGACTGAAAATGCAGGTGTTTTCTAGTTAAAAACCATAAGCTTCCCATCAATATCTGGGAATATTTTTATTAACCAGAGACTGCTTTGAGTACACTGTCCATAGCTTTTCTGATATCAAATGTAGTGCACTCAATAGTACAAAAAGCCAGATTGACATTGATTACTTCAATTTCCTGACTATCCTAAATGAACCTGGAATACATCTATCCATTCTCCTGAGTGTAATCTGCGCCTTTCAAAAAAACAAAACTTGAATAACCAATTCTGCAGTATCATGAAAGGACAAAAGTACTTTCTGAAGGTCTTCAGCCATACAACAATCTTCAGTAGCTAAGAAAACCATACTATCCCAAACTGCAAAACCATAACCATGCATTATTTCATTAGTATACATAAGAGTGAGATATGCCACTTGGAAAACTGGCAATTATTTTTTTGGTAAAGACTTTGGGGAATATTTAACAGCATTACCTTATGAAAAAGAAAAATAAATTTAAATCCAAACATGTTAAGCCATTTGCCCAGGGTCAAATCCCTGGCAAATGGAAGCATCTGTCCATGATTTCAACCCAGATCACACTGTCTCTTGAGAATCAGAATAGAACAAAAATATGAAAATATTATAGTCAAGAGGCATGAGGCTATTTTAATGGCATCCTCATTAGTCTATAAAATCTAGATGTAGTCGTAGTATGGGATTTTAAAATTAAGAGTGTTTTGCAGAACTACTGCTTTATTATATAAAAGGTCATAACTTGATGTATTAGAAAATAGCAGAAGTGAATTCCTAATGGCTTCTATTCATTTAAAAAGTATTTTCTATTGAGAATAATACAGAATCTTTTAAAATGGAAACAAAAGCAGTGAACTGAATACAAGTGATAGTGGCTAATACTCTTGAGTGTTTATTACATTCTAGATTAGTGATGGTGAAACTTTTAAGAGCTTTCAGTGATAACAAACAGCTGGCTGTAGCACGTGTGTCACAGATTTCTCAGCACTGGGCTAGGCTGAGTTAAAAGCTTTCTGTGTATTATCTCAATCAATTTCTACATGACTATCAAGTAGGTGGTATTATGTGAATGATGAAATAATAAAAGTTGTCTAGATCACAGAGCTACTGAAAAACCAATTCCTTTAGCTACTCTTCTAGATTGCCTTTTACTTATCAGGCCTTATTTTTGCTTATTGTAGGTTAAAAAAAATTCTGCTTTATAGTTACACAGGGAGGAAATTATAGATATCTACTATAAAATTTTTAAGCAACAAAACAATAAA